GCGGCGACAGCAGCCCCTGCCCGGCGCCCTCCGGCCCGGCACCGCACTGCGCAGGCGCACAGGCAAACACCGCTGGAGCCACACAAATCCTCGCGAGAGTCCGCCCGCGCGCGCAGCCAGACCTGCCTCGGGCCGAGATGGCCCTTCCCACTCGCATAAAGCCCCGCCCCCTCGCACGCCAGGCGCATAGCTGTGCCCGCTAGCACCCCCCAGTGGCCCGAGTCAAGGGGGCGACCCTGAGCGGGAAGCGGGGCGGTGGTGGGGCCCGAGGGCCTTAGGCCCCGGCTCTGAGTAGCCGCACCCGGACCCCGCCCAAAGCAGCGCTGCCCGAGACTCCTTTCCAGCGCTTAGCCAAGTGGCGTGGCCAGCGCCTGGCCCCGGTGCCTCTGTAACTCCCTGGGCTCCCTCCCAGTTGTGGAGAAAGCCCGCGCAGGGGAAAGATTTAACTAGAAGGTAACAAGCACCCCACCTCGTGCTGACTGTTAACCTACTGCTGCTTTTAAGGGGTTGAACCTTTGGCTCTTGAGGTCAGGGTTGGTAAAACTTCTTTTCCAGCTAGTTCTGAAAGCCACCTGAGGCTCAGAAGATGCTGTTCCCCGGGCTTGGGCTAAACTACAGTATGAGCAATACTACATCCTTGGCTGAGGTTTCTCCCCCTCCAGCCTTGCTGTGCCTAGTGCTCTACCTCCAAGCCACTCAGGCAGGCCCAAGACTCTCCACCAGGTCCTGCGGCACCCTGGGGTCCCTGGAGAACCTTTCGAGGGTGCCACGGGGCATCACACTTAGCAGGGTGAGGTGTGCAAATATGATCCACGAAATAAACCTAGAGATTTCAAATAGGAATAGATCATGTTGAAACCATTCTGTCCTGCTGTAGACTTTTTTTAATTCTTTGCTGTTATTTTTCAATAGTTAAAAAACTAGTGAAAATTAAGAGCTGGCATTTTCCAACGATACCTTGAGTCTAATGAGGGGCCTTGAGTCCAAGACGGTTGAGAGCCACTGCTGAAGATTCTCCTTGCAAAGACTCAGTCTAAAGTCCTCAAACAGTATTTAGGTGGTTTCAAAAATGGACTTCAATGGGAGTTGGACACTTAGGTCAGCACTGGATAGCAGGGTGGAGTGCTTCAAGCAGGTACTCGCTGTCTACAGCAACATATCCTTTCAAAGTGGAGTAGTAAGACTTACTTATAACAGATACAGTATATGTTATGCTTTTTCTTGCTACTGCCTTTCTAAGAGAATATTTGAATGCTAGAAGACTGGGTGGCACTTGGGGTATTCTGCAGTTTTGAGGATGGCAATTCAGTGTGACATCTAAGAAAATGATTCTTGGAGGAGTGAAGAGTTAAGGGCTGGAGAGCTGGAAGTGGACACTTGATGTCCGCTGAGTCTTGGAGGCTAGAATGCTACAACTAGAACAGAGCAAAGAGAATGGCTGACAATGGAAAGGAACTGGTTATACCAAGGGTTGGCAACCTGTGGCCCTCAGGCTGAATCCGGCCTACAGAACTGTTAGAAATTGTGAAAGAGGTTTCCTTTTCTAGCAACACAGGAAGCACAGCCTGCACCTTCAGGTGCCCACAACTTTCCCCATAGTGACTAGGCATGATAGACAGGCTTGGCAGCAGACCTGTGCCTTATTTGGTAAATTGTTTAAAATTATATTGTGATTGGAGCTTACCCCCATAGGTTGAAGAGGAGTCATGCAATACTAGTAATTTTCCGCTAAAGCTTTGCGAATGCCAAAATCTCATGTAACCAGAGATTATAAATACGTGTGTGAAAGTGCAACCGGGGCCCCTCTGCCTTTCTAATGTCTGGGGACCTTCAGCCGAATAAACTGGAAAGACCACACCCTTGTCTCCTGCTTATTTGAGTCTCAGCTGGGAAATGAGCCCTGTTGGGGTCAGGAGTATTCACAGGTGTTCCCTTACTAGGTTGGGAGCTTAAGCAAATAATTTCTCTGACAGAACCATTGGATCTGGCCTATGGGTATGGAGCTTCGACGGCATTCGGCTGCGGGCACTTTTCCCATACCACTGTGGGGACAAGTGATGGTGATGGCTGAGTCCTAGTGCCTGCCTGCCACTGACTTAGGGTGACTCATTCTGGCCTGCAACTGGAAAGGGTTTCCTCCCCCTAAGTTAGGGCATAGGGGCACCAGAAGATGGCTCTTTGGAGTGAAGTGAGGGAAAGAATAGATAGGGAAAAAGTATTAGTAAGAAACTTGGTATAATGGCAGTGAAGAGGATAAAGGTGAGGGAACTGAAGAAAGGGGCAGAGAGAGACTGAAATCCACTTAAGAGGCTAACTGAGCCCTCTGTCATCTTCTTGCACTGAGGACACTTGGAGATAATTACTTGTTACATGACTGGGGTCTTTTGTTTTTTTTAATATTTTTTACAACAGATAATTCTATTTTCCAAAGTCGTAGCATGTTAGCTTTAATGGGGGTTAAAGGGTTTGCGGGAATACTGCTGATGCTGAAGTAAACTGTTACATGTTCAGACTCTTGAACTCAAAACAAGCGATTGAGTAAAAAAGAAACAAAACAAGTAGACTTAAATTTTGAGCATAAAACATACAGTATAAGTGATGGTGGTTAAAATCAAATGTGTTCAAACATAAATAAACCAAGGTACCACAAGATGGTGCAAGGGAGCAGATTTGCACTGTAAATGGGGAATGCCCCTTTTCCCAGACACTTGGGAAGTGTAACATGGCACAGGGATCCAGGGTTTCAGCTGTGAGATTGGAAAAGGAACACTGGGCATCAAACCAAGTGACAGATGTAAACACAGTCACAGTTTGCCACCATTAGGATCAGACAAAAGACTTGGGAAGTGTTATGGCAAAATGCTGAACTGGGAGTCAAGCTTCTTCAGGTAGATGTGATATCTTTTGTTAAACCAACTGAGTAGTTGGAAAAAAGTTATTTACAAGCTTTCGGGCACAAGCACCCTTCTTCAGGCATAGGGAGTCTCTGCTGTTCTGAGATCTCCAGGGAATGAAAGAAGCTAAAAGATGGGGAGTCTTAATTCTGTGTTCTGTTAAGTTTTTCCACTGATTAATTGATTTTGAGCAAGTTGCCTCCCTTATTTCTGCTTTAATTTCCATATCCATGTAACAGGGATAATACGTACTTGCCTGAGAAGGATTGAGACTTATTTAATATCCCTAGCTGCCAGGCATTTAGATACCACAGCAGTGACTGGGATAGTGTAGATGGATGCTACAGAAGTGCTAAATGGTATTTGCATCTGGTTTTACCAGATCTCTCATTCTAAAGCCTTATTGATTGTGAGTGAAATTCTGAGGTCCTTACTGAAGCTTGTGGGAATTTTGCTCACATGAGGATCAAATTAAGTAAGAATTTTAGGATTTGACCCCATGGATTTTCTGGGTAACTGATATAAAAGGTGATGTAATTTATAATCATACAGTTTTTAAATTAATCATGTCAATGATTTTGTGGAATCTGACCCACTTACAATCACAGACACCTCCTGTTAATCCAAGCCACTTATTTAGTTAAATTACTTTTCTATAACTGCAAAGGCAAACCCTCAATGGATATTAAGTCTATTCAAAGTGAACTGAGAATAACTCCCTTTAGCTTAAGAGCTATTCTGGAAGTTGGCAGTGCAGCATTACATGGTTTTGTAATGCATCTCTTGGCAGGGCTGAGGACTTGAAACGTTTGGAGACTACTAGATTAAAGTTACAAATGTTTATAGGCTTGCCAGTGACTATATTCTTCACTCTGTGCATGATGAAATGTATTTCGTACAGGATTTAAATGCTGGAAGGGACGATTGATGCATATTCCTGAAGCTGAAACAATACAGATCACAATTGTTTGAAGTTTCATCCCAGTAAGGGAGGAAGTGCAGAATGGTCTGATGTGGTGAAAAACGACTGTATAAAATGACAATCCAGGCCTGGAGGAAGGAGATCTTGCTGATCCAGAAACTACAAGTATGAGACTGGCCGGCCTACTGGAACATCCTTGTGGAAGATTGATGGCCACCTAGTAAGTCAAGCAGTTTGTTGTTTTAAGGAATGTTTTGTTCTTTAAATGATACTTTGCTTTGAATATTGCCAGGTCACCTCAAGTTTTGGGGTGTGATATTGGATAAGGTGGGATATAAATCTAAAAAAAAATAATAAAACCATGCCACTGCCCAGAAAAAAATGATTGCAAGTGCTAGGCATACCTGAATAGTCATAGTGAATCGCCAGCTTGACAGGAGGGGATTGTGAGACTCATCCTGAAAAAAAAGGCTGATAGAAGCCTGAGACCTTGTCATGGGGCCTTTAAGTAGGCAATGCAGATAGGAGGTCAGAGGCATAGTTAGCTTGGGACTAGACAGATCTGATCATCTGATTGATAGTTTTGAGACACAAGGCAAAATGTTACCTGCTTCCTTGGTCCTGAAAAAAATTCAGGTGTCCACATACTTGCACACTGTTGTTGTGTCTTATTGAGTTTAATGTTTATGCAAGTTATACTCTCTTAATTAGTGATATATTTTCTTGCTCAGGATAGCAGGTCACCTTCATGTCTTGATGAGTTTATCTATCAAAATGAGACACTAGACACTAAGATGTGTGATATACAGTGATTTTTCAGTGAGAAGATCTCCCTTGTTTATCTGGC